CCCCCGGCCGCTGCAGCGATCATGGCCCCCGGCCGCTGCAGCGATCATGGCCCCCGGTCGCTGCGCGGCCCGGTGCCAGGTACTCCACGGCCCGGCATTGGTCCGCAGACCGGGGGTTGGGGACCACTGCTTTAGGCAATGCAAATGGGATTAAGCTGATGATGACCTCTCCTTTTTGTCCCAATGCAGATTCTAACCAATACACAAGTGTGAAGATGTTTCCTTAACTCTTCTGCCTTGAGAGTCAATAAAACACACGTTCCCATGGCTATCTCTAGTTAGACATTAAAGTAAGATATCCCACATGGCTCTCATAAACATCCCCCATGAGATGCTGGGGCCTTCAGTCTTCTGGTGACAGGAAACCAGTTGTAAAGTTGTAAAACTCAGTTGTTACAGATACGCTAGTGATTTTATTCTGAGGTTCCCCTCCTCCCAATTGAATGGCAGTATCACTTTTGACAGATATGCCAAATGCAAATCTTCATTCCTTCAAGATACCTCCTACAGAGTACCAAAATATTACTGAGTTATGACTTCTGGCAGTCAACTTGAGTTCTGACCAGCTTGAAATGGCAAAACTTTTTTTCTTTAATGTTATAATTTTTTTTAATATTCCCTTCCTATGTGCAATATCTCACCTTGTATATGAGCAGTATCATTCCTTTGGACAAGCCTCATGGCTGTCTTCAATTTCTTTTTCAGGCCCTGGCATTCAGAATCAAACCAACGGGGTCTATCACTCAAGCTGTCTTTGTAGCAGACTTCGTTGTTAGGTGTTCCTTCAGAATATTACAGAGATTAGAGAATGAATTGAAGGCTGAGAGCCAGTCAGTAATAGATAACTGGATTGTTCTAGCCCACTTTGTAGCATTCTGTTTTAAGGCAATCTAATATTGCCTTAGTATCAACTTTGGCCAAAATTAACCTTTTATTTTGGGCCACCTCTACCTTTTTTGTGAGCCATCTGTCAACCATGTTATATGGTCTTAAATCTGAGTTGGCCTCGCAATGTGGTGCTTACAGGCTGATGGTTGCTATTGTCGCTAAAATGTACTGTGACCTCTGAAAAGAAGTCAATTTTATCTCTAGACACACAAAAGAGATCCAGTACACTGCTTGAATTAGCTGAGTGGTATGTGTAAGGATATGCGTAATTCTTATCCTTACCTCCCAGAATTTGGAGATTACCCTTAAAAATTAAGGAGACTAGGAACAGGCCAGCAGCATTACTTTTGCAGTCTCTCTTGAGCCACTGGTTATAAAAAAACTCCCCCAAGGACTCCCTTCTTCTAGGCAAGT